TAATGGTATATATATTCATTAATTAATTATCAATGAATTCTAATTGTTATTTGAATATGCCGAAAATTAATTTTTCTGATATTAAACTATTAAATTAATGCTAATAAGGGTTACAGTATTTAATTTAACCTTATAAATATTCATTTTACATCATTGTATTATATAATTACAATTACATTTACATACTTATATTTATACTAGATACAATTTATTGTCTTATTTTAATATTAATATTAGATTTTATAGTAAAATTAATGTTCTATCATCAAAATACAAATTGTTTAAGAGCATTGTTTCTACAAAGATTTAATGCTTTTCTTACTTCTGATCCAAGATAATTGCCACAAAGATTCAAAGAAGTCAGCGTGGTGTTCTTGCAAAGTGCATCTGCTAAGGCTTTTCCTCCTTCTGATCCAAGATTATTGCGATTAAGATTCATAGAAGTCAGCGTGGTGTTCTTGCAAAGTGCATCTGCTAATGATTTTCCTCCTTCTGATCCAAGATTATTGCGACTAAGATTCAAAGAAGCCAGCGTGGTGTTCTTGCAAAGTGCACCTGCTAATGATTTTCCTTCTTCTGATCCAAGATTATTGGCACTAAGATTCAAAGAAGTCAGCGTGGTATTCTTGCAAAGTGCATTTGCTAATGCTTTTCCTCCTTCTGATCCGAGATTATTGTTACAAAGATCCAAAGAAGTTAGCGTGGTGTTCATGCAAAGTGCACTTGCTAATGCTTTTCCTCCTTCTGGTCCAATTTTAATGCGATTAAACCAATTATAACTCAAAATATCTCCACAAAGATTCAAATCTTTCAACGTAGTGTTCTTGCAAAGTGCATCTGCTAATGCTTTTCCTCCTTCTGATCCAAGATTATTGACTCTAAGATTTAAAGAAGCCAGTGTAGTATTCTCGCAAAGTGCATCTGCTAATACTTTTCCTCCTTCTGATCCGAGATTATTGTTATATAGACCCAAAGAAGTTAGCGTGGTGTTCTTGCAAAGTGCATCTCCTAACATTTTACTCCAAATAATCCGAGTTTATTACTTCGAATGTCCAAATAAGTCAACGTAGTATTCTTGCAAAGTGCATATGATAACGCCTTTTCTCCTTCTGATCCAAGATTGTTCCTGTTAAGAATTAAAGAAGTTGTCGATGTTTTTAAAAGTGTATCTACAAATGCTTTAATTTCTTCTGAACCAAGTTCATTATTGCTAAGTTTCAAATAAGTCAGTGTGGTGATCTTGCAAAGTGCAATTAATATTGGTTTATTGATAATAGTATTGCAAATTGTTAAATCTTTAAGATTTTTACTTGCTCGCAGAAACATTGCAAATAAAGAGCATTCGATAGCATTTTCAAGTTTGTTTTTTTTCGAAATATTTTACATTATGTCCTTCATTTTTAAGCCAATTTTTGACTCCATCAGCAAAATAAGAACCAACAGTTGTAGCATAGCTTTCGTACTCAAATAATGGCCTTGGATAATTTGGAAGAATAATTTTAAATGGGATTAATAGAGCTTGCTCTTCAGCATTTAATGCTAAAAGATATATGCTTATAAGTCTTTTATCTTTGAAATAATTTGTAGGTTCACTCCATAAGATTGGTGTAATAAGTCTACACCATCGACGACTTACAAGAAGACACGAAAATAAGGTTTTATAATTAGTTCGAAAATTATTAAATATTTTAATAAGACATTCGTTCGGTAATATCATCATTTTGAACAAAACTGAATTTTGTATTACTGTAAAAATCGGATTTTGCCTCCGTAATATATCATATAACCAATGTAAAATGTCGTGAAACGTTGTATCTAATTCATATGGCGCAGGATTAGTGATGCAGTAGAATCGTCTCAACGATAAACGTCACTTGCCGTAACTAGCCGTAACTATAGAAGGTAATACAGTATAGTAAGGGTAGTGACAGATATTACGTAATATTTTTTTACTATACCCTCTACCCCCCTCCCCCCCACATAAGAGAAATTTGATTGGCTATTATAAATTATATATCAACGTAAGATATCAAAGACCTCCCTCCCCCCTCAGAATATTACGTAATATCTGTCACTACCCTAAGTTACAGTTACTATATTACTTGCTATAGTTATGGCAAGTTAAGTTAAGTGACGACTATCATTGATATGATCCTACTGCTTCATTATGTAGGACATTTATTCTAGATAGTTACACAAAGTGATTCAATTTTTTAAAATTAAATTATAACTTTTGTTATAAAAAAATCTGACCAGTAGCTATATCAGCCCTATATATATATATTTTTTTTATTTATGATTTTGCCATATACATGATAGTAGTGTCGCGGGTTAATAGGTCACTTTTGTGACTAATAATCTAGCTCTGGGATGCAGGCACTTCTCCAACTGTCAACAACCTTAACACTTGCTTCTTCAACTGGGGTGAGTATTTCGCTTATTTACTTTCAACGATTATGTTTTTCAGATAAAAAAATTATTAATTCTTTATTTCGCTTGTGCCTTTTAATACAAATTTTAACTATCGCTAAATTACATAATAATTGATCATGCCATTTTGCCTTTTTAATTGTTTATTACTAATAATGCCATTTTTTATTAACTCTATTATGACATTATTCATGCACCGCTTATTAATTTGCATATTATCCATCTAATTCATGCATCACATATGTATCCATTACTTCATTGTTCTCATTGATCATTTATTCACTGATCCTGATCCTGGTCGATCATCATGTGGGCACATGATTACATGATGATCGATATATCTAGTAATTAACCACAAAATTTTTTCCGGCACATGATTACTGTTACAATTTTACGCCACATCATGCATTTTCCATTTTACTATTTAACGCGATTAGCTAAATGTTTTTTCAGTTTTTTTCAGTGCTTTTTACAATGTTCTTTTGGTGGTCTTTATAATGTTCTTTTGGTGATCTTTATGATGTTCTTCGGTGGTCTTTATGATGTTCTTTCGGTGTCCTTTACATTATTCTTTTGGTGCTTCTTATATCGTTTTTACAGTATGTTTTTTTTTTTTTGTATGTGCTTTTTATGTGGTTTTTCAATGATTTTTACGTGTCTTTTATGTTGTTTTTTCAACATTCTTTTGGCATCTTTTCATCATTTCTTTGGTGTTTTTTCTTTACGTTCTTTTAGTAATTTTTTACTGTTCTTTCAGTGTCTTTTTCATCATTCCTTCAGTGTCTTTTCATTATTCTTTCAGTGCTTTCTTTCAATGTTCTTTTGGTGCTTCTTTTGTTATTCTTTCAGTGTTTTTTCGGTCTTCT